AGAGAGAGAGAGAGAGAGAGAGAGAGAGAGAGAGAGAGAGAGAGAGAGAGAGAAAGTAATTTGGTGGGATGCCGCATGCGTGCAGTCCCAGCACTCAGGAAGCCTGGGGCGGAAGGTCTGCCTTAAGACCAGGCTGGACTACATAGCAAAACTCTATTTGAAAGAAAAGAGGAAAAAGTCTGGGCCGCCTCGTTCATTAATTGGAAGATGAATTCAACACACCTTTCTTGAGCACCAACTGTTTGTAGACCTGTGCTAGGGAGCCCTGGGGAGCTTCCAAGCTTAGGGAAACACACAAATATCAGACTAGACATATCACGAAGGCCGCAGACCTTGCTCCCAGGATAGGTGGGCGTCAAGAAGGCTTCCCGGAGGAGGAAGCCCACTACCTGCATTCTGAAGGAAGGACAAGAGTTGGCTACCTGGAGGGAGGATCCTCTAGGTGGAGGGAGGACTCTCTGGGTAGAGGGAGGATTCTCTGGGTAGAGGGAAGACCCTCTAGGTGGAGGGAGGACTCTCTGGGTGGAGGGAGGACTCTCTGGGTGGAGGGAGGACTCTCTGGGTGGAGGGAGGACTCTCTGGGTGGAGGGAGGACTCTCTAGGTGGAGGGAGGATCCTCCAGGTGGAGGACAGCCTGTGCAAAGGCCCTGGGGTGACAGAGGCACACATAAGGAAGGATATACACATGTATCTCAACAAGAGTGGTGTGTAGGGTCTTACAGGAATGCTGAGGGAGTGAGCTAACCCCTGGTTCCCCTGTAACCAGTGTTCAAGGGCTGGCCTGCCTGGGGGGTCTGGGGACGGCAGCAAAGGAATTTTAACAGGATTTCCAATCACATCATGTTATCATTGGCTACCACTTAGAGCAAAGGCCAGGACCATGACCTCTCCAAGGTGAGACTGTGGGCGAGGGTCGTTGTGAATGCGTGTTTGGAGTCACCGTAGAGGCTCAGGCTGAGATCTTGCAGGGCCTTCAGCTGCTTGGGAGATATCTCTCTACAAACACAACTGCCTCTGAGCCCACACTGCCCGCCCCCCAAAAGCCCACCGTTGGCGCCTCCCAAACTTCCTGACCTTCAGAGACAGAGGGCCCCTTCAGACCTCACCCCAGCTGCCTCACGGCACTGTTTTTGGAATCCTGCCAGGTCCTTTGGAAACTATTGACCCACATCAGGGAGACAGGAAATGGGCCCAGAAAAGAGAAGGAATGTGCTGTCAAGGGCACACATCACCAGTCAGTGGCTGGTGAGGGGCGCCATACACCACGGTGGAGGGCTCTGGTGTTTGGGTTCCGGTTCTGTCATTGGGTGACCTTGGACAAGTCCCACGGCCCTCTTCCCATACGAGATGTGGGTAGTAATTCTATACGCACCACACAGGTTTGCTTTGAAGGAGAAAGGACTGTGTGACATGAACAGCACCAGCTAGGTCATAAGGGGCCGTCACGGTGACCTGCGCAGAGAGAATCTCGGACTTAGAGGAGGCTGTACGTTACGGAGCTTGGCCCACTGTTCACCTTCAACTCTCCGGTTCTCTTCTCCTAGACATTGCCTGCCACTGTCGCCTGCCCTGTCCGGCTTGAATCTGGTCTTCCCACCTGTCCCTGCCCTGGGTCCAGCCAGCGCGTCGCCTGGGCAACTCACCCTGACGTCAGGGCTGCTCTGGCCGCTGGCCCAGAGGGGAAGCAGCTGGCAGCTGATCATGTTTCCAGGTAAATCGCCACCCCCATCGGCACTCACTCGGGGAGCGGGGAGAGGGAGGGGAGGAAGGACGGGCAGCCACTGAGAACTAGAACAAGCAGGGAGGCCTGGAGCTGCTGGGAACCTCATTCACAGCGCTGCCCTGAGACCCGAAACAGGGCCAGCGTCTGCCCTAGATAAGGAATGGGTGGCCTACTTGGGGCCTGCCCTGGAGGTCCCCTGCGAAGGGGTTGGTTGGCTCCTAAAAGTAGGCTAAGGCCTGATTATAATCCACACCAAACCCTGGATACACTCACCGGCCCTCCAGAGTGTGACCACGGCTAACACTTATCGAACGCCTTTGCTCTTCTTTCCTGGCAGTAATTCATTGTGCCCTCACGCCAGCCCGATACGGAGGGGATTAAAATGTCCTGTCTTCTCATTTTACAGAAAGGAAACAGGCACTGAGCCCTGAAGATAAATGGCCAAGGTCAACAGCAAGCGTGGTTCTGAGGGACCCCAGGCATCACTAAGATAAAGCCGAAGGTGGAGACTGGGTGGGTGGGTGGGGGGGGGGTGTCTCCAGTGCTTCATGTTTCTGTAGGAACTCTGAGGTTCTGCCTGGATATCTGCCTTGTTTTGTGACAGGCACCTCACGGTGGAGGCAACTCCTCTCCCGGGATTCCGTTCCCGGTCTGTAAAGGAGAATGCTACCTGCGGGCCGTCGGGCAAACAAGAACGGAAACAGCTACTTAGATTTAGGTGATACCATGCCTCAGTTTCCCTATCTGTTAAGTGGAAGAAAAATCCGTGCCTCACCAGGTATGGTGGCTTGTGCCCCTAGTTCCGGCACTCTGGAGGCTGAGGCAGGAGGATTGCTTGAAGCGAGGAATTTGAGACCAGCGTGAACGGCATACTGAGAGGGTATTGGTGCCTGCCTCCTGAGGTCACAGTACACATCTGTGGGATGTAGCTTACAAAGAACTCAGCACGTAGTTTGTGCTCCACAGGTCTCAGCGTTGGTGCCAAAAACCCCACCACCATGCCCAAACTCCACGGAACAAGACATTCATGGACCCTTCACATCTTTCCGTCTTAGTAACCTGAGCATAAGTGCCAAACTGTTAAATGTAGGTCATAATGCTGATCTCACAGTTTTGAAGATTGGGTAGCGTATGCACTTTGTTATGTGTGTTAGTGTGCTGTGTGTGTGTGTGTGTGTGTGTGTATGTGTGTGTGTGTGACTAACATTGGGCCATGCACACTTGTACACCCTTTACCATTTGGCAGCACGCCAACCTTTTTATTATCTTTAACACACTGCTCATAATGTCTGTTCCAAGAGTAAACAAAATAATGCAGATGGTACACTTAACACAGTGCCTACCCTCAAATAGGCACTCAATAAATAATACTGTTTTTTCTCCCCAACCCTAGGGTCTCAACAAAGGGACTACAACGACCAGCATGCTCTGCGCCCCCAGTCGGGGCCCCTTTGCCGGGTTTAGGCGCGCAGCATGCCGGGAGTTGAAGTCCTCTAGGAGCAGGCCCCGCCTCATCCCAGCTTGGGGAAAGAGGTTGGAGAGCCGCCCTGCCGGCCTTTGAATTTTGCCGCGAAAAGCGCGCGTGGCGGCCCCCGGCCCCGCCTCGCGGAGGACGCGGCGCCGCGTCACCGTGGTAACCGCCTCTCGGCTGCTGCTGATTGGGCGGTGACGCGGGGGGCGGGCCGGGGGCGAGACGCCGCGGCTGCAGCGGGCGCTCGCGCCTGTCAGTCGTGCCGGAGCGGAGCAGCGGGCAGCACTGCCGGGCCGGCAGCTCGGCGAAGAGGCTGCGCGCGCCGGCCAGGCCGGGCCGAGACCGGGGCCCGAGGCTAGGCGAGGGTGCCGGGCGGTACGAGGCGACAGCCCCGGGAGCCCCGCGAGTTGTCCCGGGCCACAGGCGCGGGGAGAGACCGGTGCATCGCCTCTGCTGCAGCGCTCGAGCCCCACGCCGGGTGCACGGCTCTCCATCCTCGAGTCTGCCCTGCGCCCAGCTGGATTTGCTGGTCCTCAGCACCAAGGCCCGCGAGGCTGCATCCCAGCCTCTGTCGCTCGCTGCGGCTGCCACTGCCGCTGCTCGCCGGCTTCCCCTCCCCCAACACCCGGGGCTCGGAGCAGCAGCAGCAGCAGCAGGAGGAGGAGGAGGAGGAGGAGGGGCCGGTGCGTTCTCGGCGCTGCTCTCTGCAACCTGCGGGGGCCGGTGCACGCCGGGCGAGGAACCCGGGCCGCTGCAGGTGCGTGCAATCCTCCGAGGAGCCGGACTCTTCACCCCCCGGGCAAACCCGGGAGCTGCAAGCAGAGGGCGGGCGGGCAAGCGAGAGGAAGCAACAAAGACAGGCTGCAGCTGGGGCTGGCGAGAGGGGCCGCGGCCGCCGGCCTCCCAGAGCGGACGGAGAGGGCGCCCTGGGAGAGGCGCGGGCAGAGCTGCCGCGGTGAGCCCGGCCCTGAAGGGAGGCGCAGCGCCTCCCGCCGGACGCATGGAGCACAGTCTCCGGCGAGGATGCACCGCCTGAGCGCGCGAGCGGCCGGGGTCCCGGGCGGACGTGACCGGTGCTGAGCAGAGGAAACCCCTTCCCCGACTTCGGACGGCGCTTTCGGGCGTAGGGATCGCCCTCACCGACAGCTCCCCTTCCCAGCCGAAGAAAAGCATTGGCCCCCAAGCGGGGGCGGGGGGGCCTTCCTCGGGCAATCTTTATCACCCCTGCATGGCCGCCGCGACCCGCAGATTGGAGCGTCGTGGCCTCTGAGACTTGGTGCCCTTCGCCTGCCTGGCTGACACAGTGAGTTCCGGGGGCACGGGGTTTTTGGATTGGAGCTGGGAGCAGCCTCTGGCAACCGGGCAATCTGGACCGGCCCTGAAGGGGGCCCTAGGTCGTGGAGCGCCCAGCAGCAGCAGGGCTTCTTGTCCGCCCCTGTCCTGCCCACATAACTTATATGGACAGGCTGGAGTGGAGGGGTGGGGACCCCTGGTGGGTATTCTGCTGGGCTTCGGCAGATGCCAGAGAGGGAAGGTCACCCCACCCATGGAGCTAACAAAGGTAGCTAGCTGCCCTGCCCCCTAGAAATTCCCGGGGAACTCTTGCAGTTTGTAGGGATTGATTGGGGGAACATCCAGGGTGAGCCAGCATGGAGGGTCTCCAGAGCAACCTTGGAGACCTAGAAGGGCCAGAGGTGTGGAGCCCCCAAACTTCTGTCTGAGGATCGTGTCCTCTGAGGCAAGACATTTGCATCTCTATTGTTACAAATAACTCACCAAGACCGGCATGTCCCAGCGGGCTGCCTGTGACATCACTGCCTGACCTCTGATGTCAGAGGGTTGTGGCCACAGCGCAGCTGGCCTTGAACCCAGAGCCAGAATGGCCAGAGCCGGATGTCCTCGGGTAGTAATGGAAGGTGAAGGCCATCGACTTCCATCCTTTTCCACTGCAATCTTATGACCTAAATCCCCAGTCACCACTCGAGGTGGGGGAGGGAGCCAGTGCCAGCTGTCCCCGCCACCGCCGCCGAGGCCTCCTGCCCCTAAGGACAGGTGTTCCGGACTCTACCCTGCGTCTCCCGGGAGCCCCCAGCTCCCTGAAGAGCAGCCTCCCACTTGTAAGCAGGGTGCTCTAAAGGAGGACCCCGTGACCCCCACCCTGTACCCAGCCAGCAGCCCAAGTTCCTGGGGTCCCCAGAGAAAAGCGGGCTGCTTCTCTTGAAAATGGGAATGTGCTGCTCCCAGCCAGAGAGAGAGAGGAGCTGCGACCTTCCTGGGTCGGTGTGTCTGCATGTCTGTGTGTGTGTGTGTGTGTCTGTCCAGGGGGACCCCCCACCCGCAGCTGTTCAACCCCAAGGTGAGGGGCCTTGGCCCAGCTGGAACTCCTGCCTAAGCCACTCTCTTTCCGGTGTTTAAGATGATTTTGACAAGCGGGGTGATGGATGCTTATTAAGCAAACGCAGGGCCAGTCGGAGCCAAGGTCTGAATGTGTCCATCTCTGCCAGGGCCGGGGGGTGGGATGGGTGGGTGGGGGCGGCGAGAACCCCCTCTCCCCACCACAGGCTCACAGCAGCCCTGTACAGGGCAGAGCCCAGAGAACTCCCGGGCCACGTCTATGCCCCATCCCAGCAATGACTGCCAGGATTAGATACGGGTGAAAACATCTACAGCCGAATTCCTGGGGACAGGAACGGTGGGGAGACCTGGCGTCATGGCTCCCACAGTGAGGGGACAGGTGAGAGGGAGGAGGGACGAGCCGCGGGCATTTTGAGACGCCGGCCCCCGGTTTCTCGGTACAGACAGCATTTCCCATCCTCCTCCTCCCCCCCCCCGGGATTTTCTTGTAACAGGTCAATAAACACCAGGAGGGCAGCTTTGGGGGTCTGCTGTGGCAGTGGTATTTCCAGCTGAAACAGTTTCCTTAAACACAAAGCTTCCGCGGACAGCAGATTGGGGGGGGGGTGCGGGGGGAGGGGGAGGCTGCGGGTACAGGGCTGTTTGCACGGCCTCTCGACACTTCCCAGTTTAGAAACAAACTTGGAGTGCGCGCCAGAGATACACACACAGGCGGTTGGAGGCCCTCTGTGGAGTATTTACACTCCCTCAGCCAAGGCGGAGGGAAAGGCTGTCAGAGTTGGGCAACTCCTTCTGTTCCCTTCCGTCGGCGGCTCCCCGGGCTTGGCAGCGAGCGCCAGACGACAGGCAGGGGGAGTGCCAGTTTACCCGGCGTCGTCCTGAGTGCCAGGCATTTTGCAGCATCTCAGCACTGCTGCTCGGGGTGGCTTGTGCCACCGTGACCCATTTTGCGGATGGGAAACCCGAGGCTCGAGCCAAGGAAGGGATGGTCTTTTTGTAGGTGCTCAGCTCAGGCAGCTGCAGTGGGTGGACCTCAGTGGCCCTGGCTTTTACAATCTGCAGCAGGACCTTCCCAGCCTCACACACACACACACACAGACAGGCACAAGGGGAGGCACCCCTGCCCTGGGACGGGTTCCTGGGTGAGACGAGACCAGTCCAGCACAGTGGCAACTTTTGCCAGGCCTTGTGATCTCAGCCTGTGGCCCGCACCGGCTGGGTCCCTTTCTGTAGCCCTGGGAGGACAAGGAGGAGGAATGTGTAGCCTGAAACCCACCTGCCAGGGATAGTCAAGAAGCCAGCTCCCGTGTGTCGTCCGCTCGGGCCCCCTGGGTTTGCTTAGAGGAGCCTGTGGTGGCCCTGGGTCACCCAGGGACCTCAGCCACCCAGAGCTGGCAGGCTCAGCTAGTGGCAGGCTCAAGACTGGGTGCCTTTGCTCAAGACTGGGTGGAGCTCCCGGCCCAGCAGCAGGTGGGGGCCATAGTGAAGAAGATGGGACATGAGCCCCCAAAGGGACAGACAGAAGAGCAGTCCCGGCTGTCCCAGAGGAGTGGTTCAGAGCTGTCTGAAGGTTGGCTGGGTCAGGGTGGCCCGGATGTGCCTTGTATCCTGGAGTCTCAGGTGGGGCAGCCTCCACTTAAGGTTCCCTCCTCGCTGTGCCCAGTGGTTTCACGCGTCTCCAGTGACCTGGGCTTTGGAGCCTGGCAGCTGGTCTGGACTAGGTCTAGGCCCTGCCTCATTGCTTGATGTCTGTGATAAGAAACCTGAAGCTCCCCCAGAGAGGCTTACGGCAGAGAACCAGCCTCTGGGACGGTTGGGTCCGGGACTGAGTGCTTGTGTGACCCCGCTGCATGGCTTTGACTCGCTGAGGCTTGGTTTCCTCATCTGTGGAGAGCTCCAAGCGGCACCCACTTCCCAGGGGCGTGGTGGGGATTCCACCAGGGCTGCTCCAGGCCACGGCCTACAGTAAAGCATTGGATAAATGTAGTGTATCCCTGCTTATGAGCGTAATCTCCAGCTCTCCCAGGGTCTTGGAGCCCAAAGCAGAAGACCCAGTGCCGGGCTTGGGGGGTCCCCTACCCTTCCAGCACCTCAGCAAGGGGGCCCCCACGTGGTGATGAGCCCGCAGGGTGTGCTCAGCACACGTGGCTCCCATCTGAGTGCCAGGGGCCTCTGGGGCCTGGCCAGGGTGTCCTCCCCCAACCTCCCCCCTCCCGCCTGCCCACTGTGCCTTGCCAACCCTCCCCAGCCAGAGGAAGCAGGCAAGCAGCTCGTATTCATGAACCGTAATTCAATCAGGCAGCGATTCCTTGGGGCTGGGCGGGGGTGAGAACGAGGAGGCGCGCACAAAAGGGCCGCTTTATTACCTCCCGCGGGCCGGGAATTGCTGCTCTCCCCCAGCACCGGCCGGAGCCGCCTTCATTGTGTTAACCCATTTGCGTGTCAAGAGCTATTGTGCGCTTCCTCGCCGCCTGTGCGCTGCGGCCCGGCCGAGGGAGGAGGGCTGCGCTGCCGGCCGGTCACCTCCGCGGGCGCCGCCCGCCGCCCTGATTGGTTGCTAAGCGATTTGCATCCAAGGTAATCACTTTTATCTCAGAAGGATGTCGACTATAATTATAAGCTACTGACATCTTTTGAAACCTGCTTAATGACTATTTTAGTCTGCCCGGGCTGGGGGTGGGGAGAGGGATTCTGCGAAGGGGTGGAGGCTGTGGGGGGGGGCGCCGGGCGGGGTAGGGGGGGGTATGTGCGTGCATTCTTTCCACCTGGACCACTGATTGCTTAGTTGAGAAACAGCTGAGGGCCTACTGCGAGCCTCAAACAAAAGGCGAGCCGAGCCGGTGGCTGGTGGGACGCTCCTCCCGGTCCCTAGTGGAGTTGGTGCCATTTCAGAGATGGGGAAATAGAGGCCCCTGAGGAGCCCGATGACCCATGGATATCTCAGTCCCTCTCAGGTCCCCTAATCTCTTTCACTGAGGGACACCCGAGAGGATGCGTTCATGCCCATGGTCACAGAGCCAGGGAGTGGCGGGTGATGGAGGGTGGTGGATTCCTGTAGTCAGGGTTGGGGGTGGGGACATGGGCAGTGAGGAGGGGTAATTGGACTTGCGAAGACACACAGTCTCGGTCTTGATGAGGGACTCCTGGTGTGCCCACTATTGCTCGGGCCTCGGGGAGAAGAGGCCTTCGGATATTTTGGATAGGTGCAAGGCTGGAGGGATCCCCAGGAGGGAAAGGCTGCAGCTGCTCAGGGAGGGCTTCCTGACAGAGGGGGCTGAGAACCTGCCCAGCCCAGGATGCGTGGGGGTGTCGCTGACTGAGGGAGTACCCTTGGCATGGCCCGAAAAGTACAGCTTACCAGAGGGGAGTGTGAGTCATGGAGAGAGAAACTCATAAGGGTTTTGGGGGTGGGGAATCAACTCAACATCCAAGCTAAGGGTCCCATGTGGTCCAAGGGAGGAGGGACTTCATCATGGCCTGGGAACTGGGGAGCTCAGCAGGGGCCTTGGGTCCTTAGGCCTGTCTGGGGTGGCCCTAAGTCTCTCTCCTCATTGGGTATGTGTGTTCCCATCCAGATCAGTTTCCTGGTGGTTTATTGGCAATGGCAGTTCTCCTATGGACTGTGGGTGGGAAAATGTTGTGTGTCCAGGACACTCCCTCAGGTCCTGGCCAGTCACCTCAGCTCTCCAGATCAAGCCATTGCCCCAGTTCTAGCAGCTGTTTGGGGTCCCCCCAGGAGCTCTTGTTACTGTATAGAGGCCCGGGGGACAATGGCCTGGGAGGTCAGGAGGTGAGGCCAGAGGCGTTGGCTGTGAACAGGCTCTAAGACGTGTAGACACAGAACTTAATGACCCAGGGTCTGTGGGGAGAGGGGCCTCCCTGGGAGGAAAGAGTCCCGCCATCAGCTGTCTGCTTCAGGATTCACTTCTGGCTCCGGCCGGCCGCCTG